TTGCCAAGCGACGAAAACCCAATCCCGATGGCAAACACCGAGGGGGGGCTTCCGATGATGGGAGAAAAAAAAGATATATATATATATATATACCCGGTGGTCTAGTGGGTAACCTCGCAGCCTGTCAAGGGCCAGGTCATGGGTTCGAGTCCCGGCAGAGTGAGTTTTTTTCTCACTAAATAAATCCTGGTCTAGGATGAAAGCGACGCGCTGCAAAGCTCGTTGTTAGTGAACCATAATCGACTTCGTACGTCGCGAGGGAAGGGATTTCTGTACCCTTCTCGCGATAAAAGTATCTCAGGCAGGAACCGAGGGGGTCTAGCCCGCCCCTCCCATGTGACCCCGGTTGGGTCGTCTAGCTAGTAGAAGTGGAGGATAGGGGCCAGAGGGGCAGACGACAGAGTCCAATGATGGGAGAAAAAAAAAAATATATATATATATGTACATATATACACTCCGGTCGCCCTGGTGGTGTAGTGGGTAGCCTCGCAGCCTGCTAAGGGCCAGATCATGGGTTCGAGCCCCGGCAGAGTGAGTTTTTTCTCGCTAATTAAATCCTGGTCTCCGTTGGAAGCGACGCGCTGCAAAGCTCGGTGTTAGTAAACTTGATCGACTTCGCAAGTCGCGAGGGAAGGGATTGCTGTACCCTTCTCGCGATAAAAATATTTCAGGCAGGACCCGCAGGAGGGGCTCCAACCCCCCCCTCCTATGTGGCCCCGGTTGGGTCGTCTAGCCGGTAGAAGTGGAGGATAGGGGCCAGAGGGGCAGACGACAGAGTCCAATGATGGGAGACAATATGTATATATATATCGTTCCTTGGGTGATTGGGGATGTCGTGCCCGGCATTATTGCACGTCAGATCTCCACGTCGTACCGAAAGATCGTGTGGTCTGATATATTCTAACTCCATGTTTCAATGATATGTTTCGCGCGCCCTTGTTGGTGGTTGAACAGGGCTGTCCGTGCTTCACTTCCGTTGGATGCACCCGTCCACGAAATACGACGACCCCGGGGTACGAGATATCAGACGGACGAACAGCGCTTCTCCCCTGTATTTCCCTACCCAGTTGCGCAGGCAGGTGGACAGGGGGGATTATTTTCGGCCGCGCTGGGTGTCCGTTGTTTATTGGCATAGTATTTTGTTAATCGCAAACTGCCTGAAAGGCACGGGGGTGCCGTGTGCGTTCCGGGCCTGCCTGTGTCGTTTTTACTGACTGTACATAAGGTGCTTGTTGTTTCCTTTAGTTCGGGCATGATGTTGATAGGTGTGGGCAACCCGGGGGGGCAGTCTTGTGTGCGGTGTTCGTGTGTATTTCCTCGCGTTTTCGACATACCCAATGCTCAGTGCGTACAACGTATTCGTATGCCTTGAGAAAAAATACTTCAACAATAATAATGTGTACATATTGCCGGCCGTGTGTGCGTGCGACGTCAGATACCACAAGGTTATCAGTGATCAAGTTCCCTGTTATTGTAGCTGCCGTGATACTGTCGCTACTCCATCATCTCATGGTTTTTTTCTCCGGGATTCCAGCGAGTTGTACTTCTGGGTGAGCGCCCCGAGTCAACAAGCACAAGTGTGTGCAATGCAACACCGCAGCAGGAGAGGGGGGCACCCCAACAGCAATTTCAGTTCAAATCTAGCTGACGCCATTCAAGAGTACTCCACGTGTAGTACGTCTTGCAGCACAATTCCAAGTGCTGTACATCCGCACGATCAGCAGCTAACGTTACCAATGCTCGGTGTTGCCGGCGGCGTGGCAGAAAATAAGCATGGTGCCTGTATGTTCATGCAAGTTTTCAACTTCATCTGTGTCTACCTCTTGATTCCCGCCACCAATCAAGTTCAACCCTTCTGCAATATACTCTATGGTGCTCAGTCCATCTTCCCTCAAAAGTTGGTAGCGATTGATGCTGTAGTGGGCGCATTCTTGTGCTTGGTCGCTTTGGCGAGTGCACAGCAGGGTGGTTGCGCCGCGTAGACAGGAGTCTCACATTTTGTTAGGGGAGGGGCTGCGTGTTGCGCCGACAAGTTTGAAGCCTACAGTAGACGGAATTTGGCAAATCTTGGTTCCCTAGGTAGCTACTAGAATAGTCTACTGCCGTAAACCTTTAGCCTACGGTGGATGTACGCCGGTCGCGCTGCTTTTCTGTGTAAAACGATAATTTTTGTTCCTCCGCCATTTTTTTTTTTTTCTGTCGTGCAGCACTGAACCAGTTCACAAAAGAGCAAAGCCATAATTGCCGAACGACCCTCACCGTTTGCAGCAAGCGTAGTGCCTTCACTTGGTGCCTGTCTTCTAGTATCTCCCCCTTAAGCACTAGCTTAGCATAGGCCTGGAGGGGTCCAGCTGTCGGAGCATTTGCGAGACACGGGGTGAGAGCAACTGCTCGTTTCCTTCCCGGTACGAAGGAACCTCCGCGGGTCTGGTCGGCGCACAAGCTTCCGCTTGCTCTGAATGCAGCTCCTGGCGGAGCCTGTAACCGACGCCCGGCGCGAGCGCAAGAGCAAAGCACTGGACTAACCAGGCGCATGTCTCTGGGCGTGACGGAGTGGCAGAGAGCAGAGCGCAGTAGGCGAGCGAGAGGATGGTGATATAGCAGTGACCGGCAGCGCGCGGAGCCTCTGTGATTGGCCGAAATATAACAGTCCCGACGCAAGGGCCGACCGCCGACCGCGATCGAGAGACCGAGAGCGACGAGAGACGAGAGAGGCTTCTGGGTTCCTCGCATAAACGCTTCACCGCTTTGGCTGGATTCTTGTCACATACCTCGGAGGACGACGACGCCCACCTGCGTGTGCTTTGGAAAAGGTGTGTGCCTGGCGCCTGCTGTAGCAACTGCAGCTACAGCAGTAGACAACCTGCCAGCCCTCAGTCAACATCCCAACGGACACTCTTTTCACAGGTGTGCACAAGTGCACGTGCGTGTGCACATCTCCGGGGAGAGAGTACGTAGCAGGTGTAAGGAACTGGAGATAACTACTACTTTGCCACCACTCAAGCTGTCTCAATGCCTGTGGAGTGTTATCAACCACCTCAGAGAGGGTCATCTGCTCGATACCATATCCGCCGTTGATGAATTATTCTCCTCGAACGTATCTAGAGAAGTAATGGCGACGACCCCAAGACCAAAGCGGTAAAGCGCTCCCACATCCCACGTACGCGTGACCCTGTTCCCCTACTTTTGCCCACCTCTCAAGATAATTTTAGGCATATGCGCAATGCTGAAAGGGAGGCGTGACTCGTTTGCTCTTGCCTCACTTGACCCAGCATGTCAAGATACAATTTTGTGTACCGCCGTAGTCTACTGCACATTCCGTATCACTCGCCACGCCGGATCGCCCTCTTTCTCTCGCTCTCAGTCTCCAGCAGCAGGACCATGGCAACGCCAGCGGAGAGCGAAGATGGCGGTACCGCGGGAGCCCGCAAAGCCAAGAGAGGCCACAAAAGCACCTTGCCCAAGGCCAATCCGCGCAAGAAATTCTTCCACTGCTACTTGTTGCAGTCGCAAGACCCCAAGCACAAGCGGTCGACCTACATAGGCTTCACCGTGGATCCCGGTCGAAGAATCAGGCAACACAAGTGAGTTGACGGTAGCGATTGAGGTACGGGCTACGCGCACGGAAAAACCCAGCCTATGATCTTTGTCGATGCATGCATTAGTGCCCCCGCGGAGACAGCAGTAACCAACTGGTGGCCTAGCAGCGAAGAAGTAAGGTGTTCTGCTGTCTTGCTTCCTGTTTATCCTGCTGCTGAATACCCGCCCATCGTAGCGTTGCACCTGACGGTGCCAGGACAGAAGACCAAATCTTCGGGAGAGTACATCAGCAGCCGTGGCTTATGTTGCTGCTGTGCAGTGAAGTTGTTTCGCTTGTCTCGTGTGCCTCTCTCGACCGCGTGTTGTTTGCTGTGTTGCTGCTGCCTGTCGGTGAAATCAACGATTACCTCTACCTTTCTGGCGAAATCGACCGTGCAACTTGCTTGGTCCTCCAGCGGAGACATCAACGGCGGGGCATTCCGAGTGAGCCACACACCGTCTTGATGCTGTATTACCGCACAGCGAGTATTTGCTGAAGTTGTTTGTTGGTTGTGCGATACCGATAACCACTGCCTTGCTAATATCACCAAGCTGAGCACAGTAGTAGTACGACTTCTTACAAAATATCTCGAAGTAGGTACTGTATCAGGTGGTGACTTTCCAGTTTAGACACGAAGAAGTCAACTGGATGATATAGCACTTCCACTTTCGGTGTAGACCCGGACACCATGTACATACAGTCGTAGGCCCTCTATTAAGCGGGTATGCGCCAGATCGATTCGTCCGCCCCATACATTGCACCGGCCTTATTCAATGTGTAGAAAAACTTGATTATTCCGCCTGTGCCAACCATTTTCACCTGCCGTATAGAGGGCCTACGACTATAGCTCAAGTATTGGAGTGAGTAAGCCGTGTCAAGCCGGCCGGATTGATTCGGACCCGCTCGGGACGCACACCAACGTGATTCTCCCCAATCTACAATACCCACCAATGCTAGGTACTAGCTTGTGCGCCAATGACAACAGCATATGGCGGAAGTAATGCGTAGAGCTTGTCGTTGGTGTATGCCACGAATCCGTCAGTTGTTCGTCTCAAAACACGATACGTCGTCGCGACATTGTGTCTCGGCCACTGCATAGGCGCCGAACCCAGCCGGTGCATAGCTTACGCACAGAAATCATCACCATCAGAGTAACGTGTGGCCCGCAAGCTTCGGGCGTCGTGCCACAAACGGTGCCATGGTTGAGTTTGTTTCTTTAGGCATTCATTCGCGCTGGCCTCTGCTCGATCAAATTATTTTACCCCTGACACCGGTTTTCGTCCGTCCCTCCCCCCCTCCTGGCAGACAAAGCGTAAGCGCCCTTGGGATATGGTGGCCATAGTACACGGCTTCCCTTCGAAGTCGTCCGCGCTTCAATTTGAGGCCGCCTGGCAGTACCCCCAACGAGATCGCCGCATCAAAGTAAATGTACGCGACTTGCCGGTGGACTCGCGTCGAACGGTAGGAGTACTGGGAAAGCTCCGACTGTGCAAGGCCATGCTCTGCCTCGACCCTTGGGCAAGGTGGGGGGTGATGTTCACGTAACAGGCGCTCCCACGTAGCATGCGTACTCTGAAGGAATGATGTGCACAACTTGTTCTAACGCTGGAGTTGACGTGTTACCTTTTCTCGTGTCTGACGTAGGCGCACCCGCTACGTAGTACGTCCGTTTTGAGCATTGGGCGGTGGGGGCGACGATGATCAAAACGCGCGTGGTCCAAGACGAAACAAAACGTCCAACGTACACTCAATTCTAACAAAAGCGTGTCTTGCACAAGAAGCCGGGGACACGCCGCACACCGAACACTCGCACAAGTGTAGAAAGGGTTCCTGTGGAATGTACGTCATCAGTGTTGTGTAGCACGGCGTGGGGGTGGGTATGACGTGCCTCTACATCTTCTGTTTAGCACTTGTACCTGAACCGCTTGCTGTGAATGCAAAACGAATAAGCCACCTCGCAAGTGTACGACGGGCCAACAAAAAAACTGTTATAAGTGTATGTCACCTACCTCAGGTGTGGGCATCCACCCGCTTTCTGGCCGATTATGTGCATTGGGTCATCTCATAACCATCAGCATCTGTGTCATGCAATGTTTTCCTTGTCATCGAAAAGGTTTAGCATTCCACTCACCCTGCACAAAAGAAGCACTCACCCCGATCGCAAACTGATACCACGCCGACGCCACCACCGACACAGGTACGGCCTGGGCATTCGCTTCTTACGAGAAGAGTACGCCGCGTCGTATGGCAAGTTGAACCTGCCTCAGCCCCTCCCAGCGAAGGGCGACCCCGACACCGAGCTAAGCACGGGGGCGCAAGGGGGGCTACCGGTCTACAAGTCGCCCCCTGGCTCTCAGGAGGAGCGTTCGGAAGCTCAGCGGCTATGCAGGTGCGCTTTATGCGTGGAGGCGTTCGGTGCGGGAGCGATGTTGATGTCGTGCTACCACTGTGGGGCTTCGGTGCACGTGCGGTGCCTGGCCGGCCGAATGCTTCGCATCGCCGGCGACGACGTGCGTCAGCTGATCCCCTCCGAGGGCAACTGTTGGGTGCCCGCTTGTTCGCGGCGCCTGCTGTGGTCGCGGCTGGTGAAGGGAGCGGGGGGGTATCGCCCCCGGGTGTCGCCGTCGACTGGCGGTGTGGATGACAACGTCAACGCAGCGGGCGGTGATGGCGGTGGTCCTCCGGTGTGGCGAGTAGACGACAGCAGCGACGACGAGGAGAACGATGAAGGTGGGGACGATGGTGATGACCACGATTCTGACGGCGCCGGAGGATGGAGCAGCGATGCGGGGTCGACAGATTTCATTCCACAACCTCATCTGGGGGAGGAGGAGGAGGAGGAGGAGGAGGAGGAAGACGACAACGACGATGACAGCTGCTGGAGGCTGAGTCCAGCACATTCTAACGGAAAACGAGCGGGAAAGGGCTCCGACGGAAATGGGCAGCCAGAACGATTTCCGGCATCTGTAGAGATGCCGGGCGGGGTAAAGTCACCAGCGCTTGCCAATGGGAACAAGCACATTTCGTTCGTTGATAGCACAAGCGATCGATGCGACAGCGACGGTAGCGGGGGAGGGGACCAGATGAAGATAAGAGGACAATCGCCATCCAAGCTACCTCTTGCAGAGCGACTACGGTTAAGGAGGCTCAGGAATTGTTAGCTGATCGCTGTTTGCTAAGCATGAATACGGACCGTATATCGGATATGTTTTGATCCGCTTGAGAAGGGGATCCCCTCTTCACGAGTAATGGCGACGCGAGTGTAGAATTCCTTCGTCACGCTTGTGGACGACATGATCTCCAAAGAATCTTCTATTAATTTTTTCGGATAAATCGACAAACCGCCAACGGCACTGACGCCGGAGTGCCCTGCAACTAGGAGACAAAAACCAACTTCCAGGGCTAAAGAAATTTAGCAACAACACACCGTTGATCCTGCGCCACACCAACAGTCCACACCAGCGGGGCGTGGTGAAACAATTACCCCTAAGGTACATCAACCACCTGAAGACGTTGGCCAGCAGCAAATAGGTCATCATGCTGGAACCGCATCTGCCAAGGGTTCTAGCTCAACCCATCTCATCTCGTCTCCCCTAAGACCATTCGCAAACGCCTTCGCGCTCATGACCTTCTTATTCAACGGCTGCAGCTCCAGCACCCTCAAGACGCTACCGTCCGAACACGTCACCTCTAGCGCGTCGCCCTTCATCACCACTTGTCGCTCGGCGACTGAGGTCTCCACGATGGTTCCACCATCTGCATCGTGGCCGGCCGCCTTTGGATCCGCAACCGCTGTGGTGATGAGCTTCACCTTTCGCGCTTCGGAGTCCGTGCCTTCATTACCCCAGGAGAACATGGCCCATGTGCCGGGCCAGCCCGCGAACGCCCTAACCCTGTAAGGGAGAATGTTCAGTACAGTAGAGAAAAAGTAGGCGATAAACATCACCGAGGTTAACTAACATCTGGGGAGAACGTGCACCAGCAACAGCAGTAGCAGTGAACCCACAAAAATATGTCCTGACGCTTAAGCAAAGCCTACATTTTGCATGCTCGTCGTCCACCGCCCTCACAGCTTCTGGACAGTGCTACTGTCACGGGAGGGCAAGGAGAGGAGACAACATGCCAAGTCTACGGGTTACCGTTCGAACACATGGTAAATACCTTCTTCAAACTATTCTACCCGAGAAAATGTAGGCATCTACGAGTAACAGCGTAAAAGCACGATGCGCTACAAAACCCTCACTTGTTGTGGATTGTTGTGGCGCTACTAGTCTTGAAGCAGCAGCGCGCTTCGTCGACAGAAATCTTGGCGGCTTTCACGGCCGCAGCGTCGTCTTGTGGGGTTTTCCTGGGCAAGGAGGCGATGGCGGGTGAAAGTGGCGTAGTAAGCACAAAGGAAGTCAAGACGCCTTCCTACGCTAGTCGCACGTGCCGTTCTCTTGCACGTAGCCAGTGAAGATGTGGGTCGAACGTAGAGGCTGAGAGAAGAGGTCTTATTGAGCACCACGAGAGAGGGGACAACACTAGGAGCGCGCCGGCAGCAGCAGTAGAAAGGGATAGGACCTTGTGCAAAAGGTTCCATTCTGTGGCTGCAATCGCCGAACACATTGGACTGCTCAAGGACTTTCTGGTCTGCCACATCGCAACATGATCACCACCAACATTCAATTTCGCCGAGCAAGCAATACAGCTTCGTCAACGCTTCTAGTCCCGAAGAGGCCAAGGATGTTCGACATAGGCTGTTCCGTTCTTGTCAGCGCTGGCTGAGTAGTCTAATGGGATGAAAACGGCTTGGTCACTCACTTGACTGTGTTGTCCCACACCCCTGGCAGGCACTCGATTAGCTGCTTCGTGCCCTCCAAGAAGAGCTCTTGCAGCAGCTCGGGTGCCTTCTCGGAGCCATCCAGCTCGCGCACCTGTTGCCATGGGAGTTGTGGATTGTCGCGAGCTCAAGAGTCTTTGTTGGCGAGTGCGGCGCCGCCAGCGCATAGCTCTATGACTACTGTAGGCTGGATTGTCGAGGTACAGTATCACCACTGTATTGGTCTCGTTTTGACTCCTTGTTCAGGCTTCAGCATGTCCAGCTCCTCTACATGGCCTCCTGTATTTGTGTTTCGTACTTTACAGACGACGGTGAAATGCACGACCATCAACAAAATACACAGCTGCGGCACGACCAGAGAAGAGGAGTCTATGTGGGGATGGACTAAGGTTCCGCACGATGTACAACGTGCTGTGAAGGACAGCTAGTGCGAAGACTAAACGACGTGGGCGAAACACAAGCATCTACCAGTACAGCAGTCGTACTACTGCTGCTGTACGTTCAACTGCTGTCAAGTCGTGTTTTGCCCCCCCGGTCAAAAGAGACAGAATGCTGTACAATACTAATCACCGTTTGCCTGACGATAGGGCCCGCGTCCATCTTTAGCACTGTAAACGCTACCGTAACCCCGGTCTCGGTATCACCGGCCTCCAGGCACCGCTGGACCGGCGACGCTCCCCGATACAGCGGCAACAGCGAGGGGTGCACGTTCAGGGTGCCAAACTTAGGGATGTCCAGAAACCTTCGCGGCAGAAACTGTCCGTAGGCTGCTGTGATGCACAGATCCGGTTGCAGCTCCTCCAGCTCGGCCAAGAAATCTTCATCGCGGGCGGTTGCCGGTGTCATGACCGCGATGCCTTCACTGTCGGCGAGAGCATGCACGGCGGACGGCTGCAGAACCTTCTTGCGCCCTGTGCGCGCCGGGGGATTGGACACCGCCCGAACAACGTCAAACCCACCGCCTTTGCCCTGTCTAGAAGCCTCCAGCAGAAGTCCCAGAGACGAGGCCGCGATTTCTGGCGTGCCGAGAAATACTACTTTCTTCCGCTCTCCATTGGCGGTGTCCATGCTAACCGTGGTCTTCGCCGACCACAGAGAACGACGTGTTGATGTTCGAACAACCGCAGCACGCGCGCGGTGCAATCCATTGCTGGCGAGCCTCAAGGCGTGAGGTGCCGTGGAAGGCACGAAGGCAAGCGAACATCGCATGCCTAGAGCATATATACCTGTGATGGCCCCAAGCGGCCGTTTGCAGCCCATGTGGAGACAGCAGGCTGCTGGGAGGTGAGTGCAACTGAACTTACAAGCACTTGCTTGCACAGACACATCATGTGCTCGGCGGCATCGCGCGAATAGCGGGGGGGGTGTTTTCATTCGTAGCTGCGAGCCCCCCACTGGTATCTTGAATGGGCGATGCCATAGCCCTGCTCCGTGACGCAAACTTGAGAAAAGGGCTGTACAACGGAGTCACCCAGGTTCGTGCGTGTGGTCGAGTTAGCCTAAGGTGGCAGTTGGATCGGGAGGGTGTCGGTCAAAGGAGAGCGTGCATGTGGAAGGATATCGTTGCAAAAATTCACAACCTTCAGGGATCTTTGCGATGCCAGAGTGCTTCTCCTCCCGAGGGCAGGGGTTGGATTTCTCTCTCCCATGCGCGCGCGAGCTTAGACGCTGCTTTCAAGCCACATGGCTCAGTCGACCATGCTTTAGATCTGTGTAATATGTAAAGCCTTTCCCTTCTCTCCCAAAGCAGATCCCGGCAAACGAATATATGTAGGGCTGTACAGGTGTATGGTCCCTTTTTCGACCAAACGCACGAGTATCATCCAGGCCAATCACACAGGAGTATGTAGAAGCGCCGTGCGTGGTGTGCACTACACGCTGTTGCTGAGGGTGACCTTCCAACCGCATGATGTACCTCTTTCTCTTCCCCCACTCGGCAAAACCAATGACCGGTTGCCCCCCAACTTCACTGCGCCGCGCAACTCGCCAGAAAAAAGGTCATGTCATTCAACAGGGGTGCCGTTGTTTCAGTTCATTACCGGGACCGCGCATGGGACATCAAGCTCAACTCGGCGGTAAACACCGCGTGTCTTGAAAGAGACACCGCCACCCTAGCACTAGAGTTACAAGCTGCACTAAACCTCAGCACGCCTCCGGTTGGGCTGAGGCTACGCGTGGCACCCGGCGCTCAGGCAGTGATTTGTCCGCTCAGCGCCGTGATCGCGTGTCCGTCGTACATCGCCACCGCCTATCAAGGTGAGTCTTGGAACTGCCTTCTCGAGCAACCCCGCTAACCGCTCCATGCGTACGCAAGAATGAACCGGCGTGGCGTTTGTCTAATGCCTTTCTTTTTATCTGGTTGTTCGGATTGTTGCACGCTCCTCCTATGCATATGTTCCTCCCAACCGACCGAAGGATCAACAACAGCATAGACTGTAGATGGTTAGAGTTTTTTGCCCACAACATGCCAGGATATGTACAACAGCAGTCGGGTAAATAATGCCGGATTCCCTTCCCGGGAAAGACTGTGGAGGATACGAACACTGTTCAGTACAAAAAAAAACAAAACCACTGAAAATTCCGCCTGTGCTCCTCTTCACGTTTTTGGTGCCTCTGCTACATGTATATATCGTGCACGAAGGAAGAGCAGCAGGGCAGGTCCTGCATTCCCCGGCCAAGCCCAGGTTTTATTCGTTCATCGTCCTCCTTGACATCGCGCTTCACTCAGCAGCAGCAGCAGCCAACAGGATTCTTTGTTGTGTTTTTCATCGGTAGGGGTATGGTCGTAAGCTTACGAGACCTCGCAACCTACAAATGAACCCGCAGGAAGCACGAATAACTTCTCCCTTCCCTGAATCGACCAAAACAGGCATGTCTTGGTTCCCGCTGCTGGAAGGGGGAGGCGACGACCATCAAGAAGCACCACCCAATGCACCACCAGCAACACCGCAAACCCAACTGCCAGCGCCTCCCTCGGACGACCCTCTCCTGCCCCCACCCCTGGGGTCACCTCTGGAGCACGAACTGTCCTTCCTAGCGACCGGAGGAGGATCCACGGCGTCTCCCTCGGAGGGGTGCGGTCGCCCGCTCACGGCGCCCCCCGGCGACCGCACGCGGGGAATGACGAGGCCGCGCCCGGGCCGTCGAGAGGGCCTCGGCAGACCCATGTCGGCCACGCCCAGCGACAAGAGCTTCGGGATGCGGTGGATCCGCCCGGGAAAGAGCGAGGGCTTCGGAAGGCCCGTCACGGCGCTCCCCAGCGACCACAGCCACAGCGGCAGCCCCGCATGGGGAAGTCCCCACGGCTTCCAGTGCGAGGAGACCGCCGCCACCACCCCAGAGGACGCTGGTGCGCGCCGGCCGGCCACTGCTCCCGCGCTTTGGCGACAGCCCTCCTCGAATCTCAGCGGCTCGAGGAATGACAACGGGGCGTTCGGCGAGCGGTTCGGACGAGGGGGGTCTGCGGAGGCGAACGAGGGGACGGGAGGGGTGGCTGCGGCGCATCATCGACTGATGCCCGATGGCGGTGGCCCAGGGGAACATGGTCGTGCAGTTGGCGGTGACGTCGACTGGGGGTGGTGTGGAGTTGGTCCGGCGAGGGAGTGTTGGGCGTAACGGGTCGTTCCGAGCGTGTAGGAATGAGCGTGTAGTGTGGCAGCGTGAAGTGCACCAGCCCTGGATGTATCAGGTACGTAGGCAGGCAGGATCGCCAATAGAAGGAAATGTGGAGTTTACACGCGAAGTGCAGTATTTACCCCCAATTGTTATGTGTGCCTGTGCTGTGACCATGTGGGGCCAATAGTGTGATGAGCCGAAGTCGCATCTACAACAGGAAGATTGTTTGCTGCACTCGCCAGCTGGCTAATGATCTACGGGGCCTCCGGGGGCTACGTGGATGGTGTTGTAAGTATGATTGAATGATTGATGTCACGCGCAACGTCCTCCTTGCCTCGCCCAACCCTTCACTTGTTAACAACAAATATCTTGAATTGAGTCTTGCCTTTTCTGTGCAAAATTCTCCCAACGAGCGGCCGCGAGCGTGAAAACTCATACACGCACGTAGACACCGAAAAAGCAGTAGCGGTTCCCTGTGGCAGCGCGCGTTTTTTCGCGCGAAAATGTGGACGCACCTTCGATATCAAGGGCATGCACCTTTCCTGCTACATCGGAGATGGTGTCGGCAAACGTCCTGCTCGCGAAATACAGCTACTATAATTGTTGGCGCGTTGTGAGTAGTTGCAGAGGTGAGCGAATATTCGCACTACGCAGCGTGCGGAAAGGTAAGCGTCATGTTCGTTCAACAGCAGTGCTGTGTCCCAAGCACGGAAGTATTTATTGCACAACGCTTTGTCGTTGACCCTGCAGACTCATCAACAAAAGCGGACCGCCCTACATCAAACCGAGCCATGGTTCTTCAGGTACAAACGTTTACAGTACCAGACGACTGACGACAGTGCTATCAGGAAAATTTTCTAATCTGAACAACACGCGAAAACCAACCTTCCCAGCAGAACAAAACCTTAGCACGGAAGTAAGCACCTCTTAATCAATTCGTACAGCCCACGCCAATGTACTTCGTGCTGGATCTGACCGTTCTATTTTCTATGCACGTCAGTCTAGCCCTTCTCTGCTTCAAAGCCACAGTGGTCACGCACAAGGCCCCCTTCTCCCTGAGACGTTCTACTGCTAGCTGTCTATGCTTTCAGATGGATTGCCATAAGCTTTCAGCCCTCCCCTACCGCCGTGAGTATGCGGGCTGAATATATCGCGTGAACAGCTTCTATCCCTCGTTGTGAACAGGGTCGTGCCGAGGCTCAACCCCATCACGTACATCTACTACCACGATACGATCCAAGATCTCCACTGGCTGTTACGTCGAAGCTGGAGTTCGGCTTGCCTATCACATCCACCGCCGCTATCTCCCCTCTTCGCCCCCCTTGCTGTGCTCCGCGATGAGGGCGGCATCGATGAACCCGTCCAGATCTCCGTCGAGCACGCCAGACACATCCCCCTCCTGCTTCCCTGTTCGGTGGTCCTTCACCATCTGGTAGGGGGACAGCACGTAGGACCGGATCTGGTTGCCGAAGGCATTGTCTCCCAGGCCAGCTGCGTACTCGTTGCGCTTGGCGTGTCGCTCCTCCTCTTCTCGTTGGAAGATCTGTCGACGTGAGATGTGAGATGTGATGCGACCCAATCAACATATCAGTATGCGTCGCCAAAGCGGCAGCACAACGAATGGACCAGCGTGCATGAGCATGTCGCCAAAACAGAACAACTAATATGTTCCCGGAAGCACTATGTATGTAGCAGCTTGTCGTCGATGGACAACGTTAAACAGGGTTTTCTGGTACAGTCACCACACAACTAGAGGTCACTTTTTTTTGGCAACTAACAACTGCACAACGCCTCACGAAAACACCACGAACCTAACGCGACATCGTGTCCAAGATTCACTGGAAGAGCTTCCAGCACAAAAGGAGCGAGCTGCCGGGAAACTCAACCATACGTATCTCTTTTCGGTGTATTGTCACGAATAGTTCACCAGCTTCGACACTTTACCCAGGCTTGTATATCTTCTCACTAGTTGGTCAGTCGCACTTCAAGGAAGCCGCCTTGGCTGCGGAGTGAAATCAAAATTATGACATAGCCCAGCACGCAGCATAGCGCACTACGTCAGTTCCCTTCAGAAGGGATCGACCGCAGGGGACGATCTCGAACAGTCCAACAACCGTGAGCGAATCCGCATCGTAGCCACGCTCCACGGAACCTATGGGGCACGAGGCGTGGCAACCCAATGAACCACAACAAACCCAGAGCGTATGTAGCCAAACGCGAAGGAGAGCACGCATGCAGACGAACTCCCGGGGGGTACAGTACACACCTTGGCTCTCAAGGCGCGCATCGCGTTCTCGCGGTTCTTGTGCTGAGACCTGTCGCTTTGGCTGAGAGCTACCAGGCCAGTCGGGAGGTGGGTCAAGCGGACAGCGCTGTCGGTGGTGTTCACGTGCTGCCCCCCCGCGCCTTGGGCCCGCATGGTGTCCACCTTTAGGTCTTTGGCCGGGATTTCGACCTTGGCGGCGTCTCCTGTCGACGGTTTCATACGTGAGGCAGAAACCGACATAACGTTAGACAAAAATCTGTGCGCAGGCCAAAGTAGGTCACACGACTGGGGTACAAAGGCGAGTCAGAGCTTTCGGGTGCTGAGAACGGGTTCAATCGACGACCAGGCTGGGCCTGCGTAGCTTATCTGTACCAAGAGAGCTGTGACGACAAATTTCGCCCAATCGAAAAACACCAACACGAGAAAGGTTTGTTGGCTTTGAATTCAAAGATTGTTGACTGTGAGGTAGGCGCGTCCTGTATTGCCTGCCCAACTTAACAGTGTGTAGCAAGCACGGGAGTCATTCATTTACCAGAAGGAATTATTTTTTCCTTCAATAGCGGGAACTTGTGATCGAGCAACATTGTATTCTTTTTGGCGGCCGTTTATCCTCTGGTGCATTCCCGCTTCAAGGTGATGGCATACGAACTGAGACGCGACCGCGTACTGCTGTTGCATGTCACGGCATCGAGTAGAATTTCGAATTTTCAGGGAGCACGACAGGCAGGTCTTTGTCAACTCGTCAGCACTTTCCTTTCCATTGCAACCTCCCCACCATATCCCCTCGTTCGTGCACACCCAACCAACGCACCCAACACCTGCCCTACCACCCCCACAAACCAAACAAGAACAGTCTCCAGCTTCGTTGAAAACGAGAGGGAGGGCCAGCAGTTGCCCCGCAACACCTCTATATTTTGTCCGACCCATGCCCAATTCGTCTCTACGGCATACAATAAAATTGGAGCAGTGCACAGCAAAAGCACATCTGCGGCGCCAGGTATCGGACACGGGTTGGTTCTCACCAGACTCTCCGCCTGCCTCCGGAAACACCCTGACTTGCGAGAACGACGTGTGCCGTCGTCCGTTTGGGTCATACGGCGAGTTTCTCACAAGGCGATGCACACCCGCCTCGGACCTCAGCCAGCCGTACGCCGACTCCCCTTCCACGAATACCATGACGCTGCGTAGCCCGGCCTCATCTCCTGGGCTGGAGTTCAACGGCCGCACTAGTTTTTCGTAGCCGTAGCAAAAGAGGGTAAAGTGACGAGGGGGGAGGCAGCAGTCATGCAAAAGACGTTGGTTGTGTGCGTACTTGTAGTCGGCCGAGAGCTGTCAACCATACGTTACGGTCCCCTCTGCATCGTGAGCACTTACTTGTTGCTTGCGGGAGACCAACTCTCGATTGGAACTTGCTTTCATGTGCCAAAAACAAACATGGAACAAAACCCGTCGGTGCAGCTTCAGTGGCCAGCCAACAGTAAGAAGCGTTAGGCCTCGCGTCGAGAGGGATGACCGTACCCGGTCGCGATGCGTTCGACAAGCGACAGCCGCGTGATTGTGTGTGGCCGGCCACAAGACTCCGACAGAAGTTACCAACCACGATCAGCGGAAGAAGCGACCATCGGCCGTGTACTAGCAGACTACAGCAGTACATCCACCAAAAACTCACGGGTAAAGGCTTTCGTCTCCGCCCAGCGCGTGTACATCTTGTAGAGCATGCTGGTCCAGTCGTGGCTCTCAGTGCCACCAGCCCCGGCTTGAAGCTCCAGGTAGCAGTTCGAGAAGGACAACTCCCCCCCAAGTGAGAGCAGGGTATCTGCTCTGGCGCGCTCTGCCTGCTTCCGGAGAGCTCCCACCTGCAAACACATCCATTTCCACCCGCCGGGGATAGACCAAACGGTTGTATTTAGCAATGGAAATATTCACTACACTTTTCTCAAACGTCAGACATGTTCCTCCAAAAACAAAAGAACAAAACGCCGTGTGTGATGTGGATTGATTGAGATGCGCCCAGAATGGTGCTGTCAACCTTCAACTAAAAGGCAACGAACTGCAGTTGCAAGACAAAAACTTCCCAGCGGGAAAAACAGATAACATACCCATTCACGGGGAATAGAAGACGGAGCTTTGGTTCCCTGGAGCGGAACGTGAACAAAGCACTCTCCTGGCGTAAGCGTGAACCAAAGAGTTCAACGGCCACGCCCTATTCACAGCTAGGGGGACCTCTTGAGCACCATCACCAACAGAGTGCCAGGCATACACCGTTGGTGCTGGGGTCGGAGGGTCGCCAAGAATCTGGCGACCGCGAGGGGAAATAACAAAGTTACGTTCTGACGACAACGGGCACTACACGGTACACACGAGCAAACCTGAACGTTCTCAGTGTTACACCTCGAGCTGAAATGAAGTACGAACAAATGCAGGCATACGGAATGGTCGTGTAGTACATGCACTAAGGGGTGGGTGTGTTGGCGCACGATTCCGATCCCCCCAGTCCCGTAGAAAACAGACAGCAAAAATGGTCAGGTCTGCTATAACCTTCATCTCAGCTCGCACCTTTTCGATGCATTCTGTGAGCAAGTCCCCCTCTTCCTCCAGTGAAGCCATTTCTGTCACAGTGGCATCATCAGTAGAAGCGTGCATAGCCGAAAAGTGGTTCATTTCACAGGTTCCGCAGGGTAGAAAGCGTCGTTGCAAGGCGGTCGAAAACAGTCATGGTTGCGAGTGAAGAGATGCACCCACACGCACGGCATGAGCGTCTTTTGCCTTGATCAACGAAGCAGGCGCTACTGTAACACGAAGCCACCCTCGTCAAAGGCGTGAAGGAGGCAGAAAAACGGATGATAATACTTCTCACAGAAATCAACTATACCCGGTAGAGATACAATACCCGGTAGAGATACGGCGTACTGGTTGCCCGATCGTTGAAAATGAAAGTCGTACCGACAACCACGAAAAATGCACCCGCCTTTCTTTGTTGATGTATCGGGCAATGACTCGGTGCACACTATAGACTAATGGCGTCGACTGCTGGTGTGTGTGGTTTGGCTGGTTCTTCGCCAGCGTGTGACTCGTATGATAGGTCAGCCTCCGACCACAGCCATCCGAAGGACATTTAAGCCTTTCAGAATAAAAGCAGCAACCCAGAGGAGCATCACAGCAGTGGTTGTTACATTGTGGGAGGTGCTACATGCTCCCCACAAGCCCCGTACCTTTGACAGGGGATACTGGATTTAGGAGGGCCCCGGGGGTGTCAAGCAGCGCTGGCCGCGTAACCTTCTCACCGTACATTTCTCGCCAGGACTTCACTTCCGAGTTGAGGCTCTTGACGTTTTCCAGCTTAGACTCAACCTTGGCCCTTTCCTTCACGATCTTGCCAGCCTTGGTGCTGTCGTCGTACAGTTTGGGGTCGGACACGAGGGCGTCTAGCTCGGCCAGCCGAGCCTCAAGCCTGTTGGTGGCGACAGCAGTGAGGGGAGAGGAGGGAATGGAGAACACAAGTGGAGGACGGATGGCGGCAGTAATGCGGCAGCAGGCGTTGTCATACTTCGCTGCCCGAAATGGAGTCTGAGACATGAAACGGCCTGTTTTTCGTTGTTGCCTCTGTTCAACTGTTGAAAGGATGCCTCCGTTGGAACTACTGCTGTACCGCTACTGCCACTGGAAATACGCGACCGGTTCGTCAACCACTCATTGCTGACGAACTGACAAGGTGTGAGGATCCATAGCTTCATCGAGGACCAGAGCCCAGAGCTATAGCAGCAACAACGAAGTAAGCAGTTCACAGCAGTGGTGTAGCTGAGGCTGCTACTCCAGCTGCACTGCTGTCATGGAGGTCGCAGGCCTTGTACAACAACGCGGCCGCCAAACAACTGCTCCAGAGCCGATTTACCGGGAAAAATGAAGTTCGATGCGGAACACCCCATGGCCATATCATATGAAAGCCGCAACGGAGACACAGGCGTGACAACATAGAGACATGGTACAGCAGTAGCGGCAGGAACGGCTATCGCGCAGCACACACTCACGCTGGAATGTCTAGTCGAGACGAGAGAAGCAAGTGGCACTCCTCGATGACCTTGCAGTCCTCTTCGAACGTAGAGATCAAACGACGACTGCAACCACCGATAACCCCCTCAAAAGGTGCACCAGGTGGCCTAGTTCTCCCGGGTATAGCTCTCCCTCTTCCATTGGGTTGCGTTGCTGCCGCTGCACGAAGATGACTTTGCTGCCTGCGCTGCGGTGTCACCAGACAGGTACATCTCGTTCTCCAGATTGCTGGCACTTGGAAGCTACGTCGTCTAGCCAGCCCAGTATCTCCTGCCCGAGCCAGCAGTGTCCGTACTCCAGCGGACGACATGGTGGTGAACCACATCTGTGGGCACAGCACGTAGCAGCGCACAGCAGCACAGCAGCGCTGCTGCGGTTACTGAGCGATCTCCGAAATAAGATTGATCTCCGAAAGGAGTTCTACATGCGTCGGTGGCGGAAGTACCCCGGGCCCCCCAAGCGCTCTCCTTGGCTCAGTTTTTACACTGCCTCGGCGCTGCCTGCTGGTCGTCCGCCGTGTCGTAGAAGCCATCAGGTGCGTCAACGTGTCGTCGTAGCATGGAATTTGTGTATCATTGTGCTCGTAGATGAAGCAGAGGGGTGACGCCGACACACCCAAAATATTCTCCTGATCCCTGTTGAGCGTCTTTGAAACAACTCTTGAAAAGGCACGAAGCGGTGTTTGATTGCTGCCCCGCTGCTCTCTGAGATACACATACAGTTATGAAGCATGTTATGTATACCAACTCGTGGGGTAGCTGTTTCTGTTGCTTGTTGCTGACTGAGGCATTTTCCGGTCGGTGCCACTGCGTTGCTCCTTCACAAGCATATGGTAGTTGTCTGCCCGATGGCATCACATGGACGTGTTCGTCTCTAGGTGCGGTTAGCTGATGCCGCAGCGACACCGGGCGACTGCACGTGTTGCACACGATGCGATTAACTGTCGGAACACGACGGGATCGTACCTCCCGCGCTGCTGATGTGATAGTCACGCTGCAGTTACAACAGTGGATATCAAAAATCGCCGTAAAAACAAACGACTGTCTGTGGCAAAATAATCCTCTTTCGACCACATGAGGTTATATCTCGCACGGGTACATTAGTCTCTGTGTTCATATACATTTATAATAGTCCTCTGTGTCGGCGAACGGTGTATGTACAACAATATGCATACACCCTGCTCTCCCGAGAGAGCGCGGTACGCTGAACCCATCATGATGTCGCTCCTCCAAACGTGTCCTGCCTTGTAACCATGCCGAATCTCTCCCAGAGAGAAGCAGCCTGTCGAACAAGTTACCAGCAGCAGGGGCGCGGCTTTTGGCGGTGGCGCGGGCTGGCGCGTAGGACATATTAGTCCACCACATTGCAATTTAGTCGGCACAACTTCTTAGCCATGGCGGATGCTCCTAAAAAAGGCTCCGGCAGGGTTCGAAAGCCACAGCAGCAGCAGCAGCAGCAGCAGCAGCAGCAGCAGCAGCAGCAGCGTCCACAAGCACCACAAGGGGGAGCGGCCGGGGCACCGAGAGGGGCGAGGGCCGCAGTAGTTGGAGGGGCAGGGATGCAAAACCCCCCTCCCAGAACACATCCACCTAATCCTTACCCCCCCGGGCAGCAGCAACAGCAGGTAATGGTGTACCCCCAACACCCCCAGCACCATCTACAACAACACCCACAACATCCGCAGCATCCGCAGCATCCGCAGCACCCGCAACGGATGGGGCTCCCTGGGATGGGCTTTCAGCACCCCCTACCGCCCCCGCCACCACCACCGGCGTTTTTTCCTGGGTCGGCGAGTCTGTTCGAGCAGCTCGACAAGCGGGTCATGGTGGGTACTTGATACGGGGAGACAGGGGTAGAGCTGCAGGTGTAAGTGTCCTCGCCTGTTGCAGGGCGATATGGTCGTGTGAACTGCAGTCAAGCCGTCGCAGTCCTGACTGTGAGCCTCGATTGTTTCATGGTCCACGCACCTCCCACTGCACAACTGCACAGGAGAGTGTGTTCCCTGTGTTGTCTACGAGCCGACGGTATAACAGTAGGCGAAGTGGTGCTGCTGTTTTACCCAGCCGCAACGATGCCGCAAAGTCTAGAACATGCTTGCAACCGTTGCAGACGAGGATATTCAAGAACTCCCTCCCGAACGGAGTTGCATTGACGACGCGATGCTGTTTGTGCGTACCTCAGGGGGGGGCATTCTTTGTTCATGCGTTGGACGTTTGTGTTCGTTTTGGCTTGTAGATAGTTAAACCCAACAATGGCCACAACAACAACCAACCCGTACCAACGACATCAGGTCGTTCTACGCGACGGTAGGCACCTGGTGGGAGTTATGAGAAGCTACGACCAGTTTTCCAACATCGTGCTGGAAGACACGCACGAACGACACTTTGTGAGAGGTGAGCTTCAGCAAACTCTGATACAAAGCCATGCGTCTGGTCGGAAATGTTCATCCGCTCGACGTTGTCCTCCCCCACCAATGTGTTTCGCGTGACACGTCCTTCTTGCTTGTTGGCGTTGTACTCGAAAGCTCGTGCTGCGTTGTCATCAGCCGAGGCTATTCCGCTGTTTTCACGAGTGACCCGGGCGGACCCCGTAATTTATTCATGCTTCTGACTCTTTGGAATTATATACCATGCTATTATATGTGTCTTGAGAAGCTTTGTGCAGAAAAGGAGTTGGTTGCAGGAGATGTTCTTTGGATCGCTTCGAGCGTCCTCCAACATATGTTGCTCGGTCAATTTCAACAGCAGTCGTCCCGTTTTGAGACACCATCATGGCAATCCGGACCAGGATTTCCGGTTAGAGTATTTTGTTTTGAGCCGAAGTTTTTCACCGGGGAACATTCATCGGTATGGCAGCACGCATCCAAACGGGTAAGCGCGATGCACTTTGGTTAGAGCGTTGGTTTTGCCGTCTCGTCCGAAATGTCCTTGTAGCTGTATGCGCCAACGCTCCCCCCTCGTACCCACCACCCGGTTGGTCCCGCAGATATTTTCGGGGATATATCGCTGGGGCTTTACCTTGTCCGAGGGGATGCTCTGGTGTTGATGGGCGAACTCGACGAGACCCGGGAGGAAACTCCCAGGCTGAGAAGGGTCTCCGCGGACGAGATAATCGAGGCGCAGCAGGAGGCATCGGCAGAGGATCGCCAAGACGCGAAGCTAGACTGGTTGTTCCAGGATTTGTCGTGATTGTGATGTAGTGCGCTTTGCGTCTCGTCTCCACCCGCTGGTGCTGGCTGTATTTCCAACCTCTAGACCAACGCGGGCACTGATGGTTTACATGCTTGTTTTGGAAGATGCGTTGCTGCTGTGATGGTTTTTTGCTGCTGCGGTCTTTGTGCCATAACTTGCAGCGCTCTGGCTTCGTTTCGTTTGTGTCTGGGCCTGTTGCTAGCGCAAGTCGCGTCTCTGGAAGGATGAGGAAATATTGAAGTGATTACAGTGGGGCGATTGTATGGAAACAGGCAAGTAGGGGCTGACCCCTGGATCCCCTGTTGAAGGAGTACTGTGGTGCAGTTTTTGTCCGGTGTTGAAAATAAAGGCAGTCCTTTTGTGATATGTTGGTCGGGTTGCGCAGAGCGGGCAGTCGAAGTCGTCTGCGTGCACCCGGTATTTGGACGTGTTTTTCGACTTCGGGAACTTGTCGGGAACAATTGCCCAGTCAGTGATAGTATACTGTAGATTGATACCAAAATCCGCCAACCAGAGTGTCCATTCAAAAAACGATTGCCGATACGGGGATGGGTTGGCCGATATGGGCTCTATTTGCGACATACAAGCTGCAACGTGGAGACTCCGAAGCACTGACGCTGACATGTCCCCGGGTTCGTGTGGCCGATGGTGCATTTTGTTAGTTTTGATTGATGGGGCAAAAACCTCCCCTTCTATGTTGTGTAAATGTCGCCCCTCCTGAATCGACCGGGTGTGTTCGTAGTACCGGCGTTTCGTCGTTTTCAAGCTCATCGGGTGCTTCCTTGCAGCTACGCCACGCCTCGGTCGAATCTTGATCGAATCAACAGGCATCGCCCTCTGAATGCTCAACATCCCAAGGGTAGCACAATGCCCACCAATCTCAATGGTCTCGGTTAACATCAAAGAGCAATTTTGAGCAGACGACATAACCGAAATCAGCATAGGACGTAAAACCCACAGCAGTAGATAAAACCCGACCCAACAGGCATATCTTCTGGGTGATGGGGCAGTCTAGACTAAGGAGGGTACGCGGCAACAACTCGGAGTCTCCATCTTTCGCGAAAACAAGGTGGTTAGAGCTTCAGCGTGGGTCCTACTCGAATCTCTCTGACACGTAGCCTGCTGTTCTCGACCGTAGGAAACAAAATACTTTCAACAGCTCACAGTCTAGACTAGGGAGGGTACGCGGCAACAACTCGGAGTCTCCATCTTTCGCGAAAAAAAGGTGGTTAGAGCTTCAGCGTGGGTCCTACTCAAATCTCTCTGACATGTAGCCTGCTTTTCTCGACCGTAGGAAACAATATACTTCCAACAGCTCACATGTTCAGGCAGGACTTCATCTAAGCATTTCTGTACCCGACATTGACGTTAGTAGAACCAAGGAGTTACTGCAGTCTGCACCTCTGTTCTTACGGTTCGTTCTTCAACATGTCTTGGATATGCCTGAAATGTTGTTAACTCCCAGATTCTCAGTGATAGCGACGACGTGTATGGAGGACATCGTGTGCGTTTGGTGTGGTATGTTTTGGAAGAGTAACAAGCATTTCTCAGGATTTACGTGAAGTCTAGTGTAGAGTATGTAATTTCAGCCGTAATCGTATCATTCCATGCGATGCCCGACCACCTCCCCATGTATGTGCATACATAGCGCCAATGCCATGCAATATCGAATGTGGGAGAGGCCACCTGAGGAGTTCTCCTCTGTAACGCCAGATAGGAGCTCTCATTCTACAGTGGCGAGGGCGTTGGGTGTCAGAGAAACTTCGCGAGCGACGATGATGTGTGGACGTGTTGCGAAAACGGGCAGCAGGGTGGGGGCAAGACGGAGCGGGCACACGATATTTCGATTCACGGAGCCCCCTAAACTTGAAACACTTGTTGTGCTGTTCGACGCTCTTTCACACGCCCTTGCGTGAGAGCCAAGCGCTGACCGCAATTCGTTGGGTGGGAGGGGACGAACGCAAGAGGATTATGCCAACGTCTCCCGGCGATGGTGTTGTTAGAACGACCACAGGGTGAGTTTGTGTTCGTGTGTGTGCCAAAGAAAACTTGAGTTGAGGTTTTGGCCGGTATCGAGAGCGGGTGTGTGTGGGGTCTCTTTGTTTAGTAGCGTGTGAAGGGTTTGGTGCGTTATCATGCCGCCTAAGCCAAAACCATGCGGTGCGTAGTTGTGACGCTCCCCCCGCCTCTGTCTGCCCCTCTGTCCCTCTTTCCCCTGGGTGTCCTCTCTTTATCGAACTCTGTCTGCGTCGAATCTTTACTTCTGACCTTTTGGATCTCCCGGCGATTGCGATTACTGCTGCTGCCCGGAGAGAGATGGTTTTGCCGTCGATTCCGTAAATCTACTACTGCTGCACAAATCCAGTCCGCACAGCACGTGTGTGCGTATGGGTGCTGAGCGATACAGCAACATATTGGCTTCATACCAGGGGCAAGTATGATGCTTGTGTGAGCAGGAAACCGCTACTTCGACATACCGTGAACCACCCCATTAAATCTAAACTCGAGAGATGTGCCTTCTTCGGCCGGGAAACCACGACTTCACCGTTTCTTCAGGGCATCAATCCCACCCAACTAAATAACTGGCCGCGGCTCTCCGGTGTGGGGTTGCGTGTCTGCGGTGGCTTCGACTTGTCCTCATGGTTGTGGATTGGAGCTTGACTGCTGCAAATACATGCCAAGCCCCGCCGGACTTCTGCTGTACCGTGTGATGAGTGCGCTGGCAATGTGTGTATCATCCGCCCACGCCGACGAATTTGCTGTCCGTTTCACTGCTGTGAAGTTGGTTGATACTCCAATTATTTTAGTCTACAATTTGCGCGTCGGAGGCGAGTGTGCCTTTCGGCGAAGTTGAGATGTGGCGGACACACTTGGCAGCAGCAGCAGCAGCAGCACCTTCAGCAATCTAGTCGGCCTTTGCGAGAGTACCATTCCCGTGAAGTTAAGGCAGAGCGGAGTGTAGGTTTGGTCCCCCTCCGCCCAGGGTAACAATCACGTTGTGGCTGAACCGACTAAAGTTTCGATTGCCGTTGGTGAGATTTCGACAACGTTTGCATAACCCGGTGATGATCTTTCCGCGCTGAAAAGCCCACGGGAGGTTGTATTATTGTATGCTGTAGGAGCTCGGCACTTCGCGTTAGCCTTGTCGTGGCGCATTTCGAGCGGTGCAATAAGGAATCGACACCTGCCATCACGTGTCGCATATCTAGTGTAGGTAGGCACCTCAGTCGCAACGGTGTTACTGGGTTAGGAATGGGACAGGCCTTACAACGCTGGGCGTGCGGACTGAGGATTTTGTCAACGGCGCGGTAGCCATCAATCAATCTTGGTAGCGACCGACGCGGGCTGTTTGGTGTTTGTTCACACGTTGCGATGCAAAATTCTACGTTGAAAGTGGCAGCTTCGCGCGACAAGCGTACTGCAGAGCAGCGAGAGCGGTCGCGCTCAGCGGGCAGTCAGGGGAATGTCCGGGGCTGACGCTATGTTTGGGCAGTACAGTGGGCTATCCCCGAGGTTGTCTTGTGGAGTCTAGCCACGCACCGTGGCCCCTTTTCGGGATGAAAGCGTTGGTACGCCGTCCCTTTGCACCCACACCCACATGTTGCTAGCGCATGGCAAATACACGGCAACAGGGGGGGGTCATCTCTGATCGCCTCTCAGCTGCACTGCTGCTGCCGCTGTTTGCCGGTGTTCGTGTTTGCCTCACGACTGCTGTAGGCCGTGCATCGTTTTTTTCGGTATTTAGGAGATACCGGTTTTGGTAGGGCACAATGGACATGAGTGTCGCTTCGCTCCCTACTAGCGAAAATAGCAGCTGCTTAACAGCGATACCAGCTCTCATGGAGCATCGCCCAAAACTCGTGCTTGGGTGGCTGCATCGAACACATTTCTAACCGCTGCTTGACCTGTTGCCTGTGTTCCCTTGCTGCATTCCGAACACCACCACTTGACGCAGGGCTCCTGGTCCTTCTCCCTCGGATACCAGCAGTTCGCCCGCGGCAAGCGGGAGCAGCGGAGCCGGAACCACGAGCAAGAAGAGCTTCGCCAGCAAGAACCTGAACGCCCTCACCAAGGCCCCCGCGGTCCAAAGGTGGGTAGAATACCGCTGTGCCGCCTTGTTGTTTCTCAAGAGATGGAAGAGGTTGAGGGAGGGCTTGTGGGATAGCGGGCGGGGTGCCATTTGGTGCGTAACGGCTGCTGGTGTTCGTGATGATCGTGGTCGGATTCTGGTGCAGACAACACAGAGGAAGGGACCTGCGGCGTTTTACGGTAGACACCACTGCTGTGCGTCTGCGGTAGGCTGCTGTGGACGAAAACGGGCGTTGCTCTGTGTGTGTGTGTGTGTGTGTGTGTCATTCGTACGGGTCAAGTCAGACATAAATTGACGGGCATGCGACGCTGTCATCGCCTGCATGCCGTTGACAGCATGGGTGTCTCGAACCTTGCCATTCCACAACTTCACTGTGGTTCGCGTAGAAAGTTGTGAGATTGCCGATTCTTCGATTCCAGCAGCCCACGGTATTGGTATTTGCATTTAGATTTGCTGTACTGTCGGCTACGGCGCTGCTCCGATGTCCACGAGTCAAGCATCACAGGAATCGCAGAATCTTCATGAACATATCCCACGTATGTTCAAAGTTCATGGTGCCGTTTTCCTGGTTGTGTGCCCCCTAGCTGGTCTGGCGTGTTGAGAATTACACGATCAAGTTTTTGCGGGGATGTGTAGCTCACAATTGCGACCTCCTCAAGAACACCAACTTGTAGTCAGATTCGGACGCCTTGGGTATTCATCCGCACATGTACCGTATCATATGCCCATGTAGTATCATTTGTTGCGTTTTCGAGCCCACGCCGCAAAGCAACAAGGACCCCCCAACCTCTCGGGTGTAGGGCTAGCCCTATCTTTGGTGTTTGGTGTTTTTTGTAGCTCCCCGGCAGGAGCAACACTCACAACACGGCAGGAGATTCTTGTCACGCCGCTGTTTGTGTGCTGTGTGCCTTCATTGATCGCCACCGACCACGACCGCCTTTGTGACGGTGACGGTGACGGTGACTGTGTTATGTTCTCACGCTCACGAACCTGTCCCGCACACCGTTTGCTACATACCCATGGTATGCCCCATGTACCGTTCGCTGCGTACGCCAGCAGGGGGTCCGACAGAGCCGGAGAAGTGGTGCGTCCCGCGTTCGGCGCTGGAGGCCGACTCTTAGTCCTCGGCACCAAGAATAGGGACGCCGGCGGGGCGGGCGGCCTGTCCACCCCGGTGCCCGTCAACACCCCTAGCCTCCGCCGAGAGAACAAGGGCCAGGACATCAGCGTGCCGCTGGTCCCTTCGGGAGGTATTGGCTGGGGCGCTGGCAAGGTTACTGCGCCTGCTGTGAGTTTGTTGCCGTGTGTGTGCGTACTTCCTGTATCTAGACCGCGCTTGTTTGGCTGACCAGGCAAAATATTGGGTTGGCCGGATTCCTGTGCCGGTAGGGTGTCGCGAGGTGCAGCTTCGGGTCGGTGTCCGTTTGGCATGCGGTAATGCTAATACGTTTCCTGCAATGGTTGGCACGTTTCATGAGCTGCCGGCACAACCCCACGTCTCCCTCGTTCTGTTTTTGAACGGTCTCATGCAGATCACGAATCACGCCTTACTAACCTAGCCAACTGAACCATCACCCCATGCCTGACAGCCCACCGTAGCAGAGCCAGCGCCAGCAGGCCCCGCGCGCGATGACCGCTCCGCTCCTCCGATGGCTGGAGGAGGAAGAGGTGGGGGCAACGGCGGGGGGGAAGGGGGCTACGGTCACGACAACCGCTCTGCGGGCCCCACGAGGTCGTCCCGGTGGCCGAACAACGACGGCGGCGACGGTGGCGGCGGTGGCGGCGGTGGCCGATCAGATCCGAGAAGCTACCCGCCTCCTCGTGCACCATCGGGACGGCCTCACTTCGGCCAACGGGGCGATGGGCCGGGGGGTGGCGGTCGTGATGGTTCTCCCGCGGGCAGAGAGAACGGGATGGGGGCGGGGGGGTACGGGGGTCAAGGTAGACTTGGCGGCGGGCCCCCTGGGGGGGGCGGGATGCAGGGCCACTACCTGAGGGAGAGCGACTTCCCCCTGGAGATGGGCGGCGGCGCTTCGAGGGCGGAGAAAGCGCCGCAGCTGAGGCCGAGAGGTGAGTGACCGGCGTGGTTGGAGGATTCAGTTGAAGCTCCCAGCCGTAACTGTGTGTTGGATGAAACATGTATGGAGGTACGGTAGGTGTACGTTTCCAAAAGGTGTTATTTTGTATGAGGTCTCGGAGTTACCTTATAGGGCCCATACAGTAGTAGAGCACACAGGTGGGCCAATGTCCCAAACTGTGGTAAGCTGTCTCTGAGAGGGGGGGGTAGGGAGTTCGCCATGTGGGTTGATCAATGTGAAACCATGTAATCATGTTTGGTAGGGGTGGTGGTGTCGCTCATAGGGACTTCGTGCACACAAGGACGTGCGGTTCTACATGTCACACCTGGCAAGAAAGGGGTCGTCGTGCTTCACCAGTTGCTTGTGAAAGTCCCCTATGTTTCTATCAATACAACGCCATTTTTAGAATACAAAGCGACGGACCCACCCGCGACAGCCCCAAGTTAGAAAAATATGATGAGTGTGCGGGGTTGCTCCTTCTGTACCTGTGCCGAACAGCAGTTGGCTGTGAGCCCATTTTGGAATCTTTCGAAAGGCTCGTAACTCACCTTGTGACTGCCTGCGTTGTTGTACAGCATTTAGAGGTGCCGGTGGGCAGTCTGCACGGTTCAGGTCAATGAGGACAAGTATCGTCGACTTGACCCTCTCCTTTTTTTTGTCCCGAAGTGTTTGCGAGGCGTGTGTTTGATCTTGTTCGTCTGTGTTTGCGGAATAAAATGGGACGTGGTCTCCTCGAGACCAAGTTACATTGCAGTAGGCTGCTGCAGTTGTTTTTGAACAAACGCCACCTCCCCCCCTTGTCACCATGGCATGACTGGTGCAAGGCCGGCCTGTTCTCGCTTGCGGCTCCTCTCTCTCTTTCTCTCTCTCTCTCTGCTGTTTTACTCAAAACTGATTTCGTTACCTTGTTCGAACGATCGCCGAATCGTCTATTCTCTCATCATCAGGCGGTACGGGGCCTGACACTAGCCAAGGCAAAGGAGACCCCCCCCCGTTCGCTTCGCCTTCAGGCGGGTCGCGGGAGGGACAGCAAACTCGAGCAGCAGCAGCAGTTGGACGGGCAGGAGGGAATGGCAATAACTCGCCCTCGCCCTCCTCCCACGCCATGGCACCCTCCTCCGGCCCGCGAGATCTCGACGGTATGCCTAGCCCCCTCGGAGGGGGGAGGTACGGCGACGGCGGTGATCACTTCGGCCACCACGGCCCGCCGTCCGTTCCGTCCCGGTTGTCCGGGAGAGGTGCATCGCCCTTCGGCTCTCGCCTCGCCGGGTACGGCGGCACGGCGAATGAATCGGCTAGGGGGGACTACACTCGCGGCGGGGGCGGCTACGGGCACAATCATCACAACGGAGATTTCCGGAGCGGGGGAGGAGGGGGTGGCCGCGGGTGGTCCGGGGGTTGGGACGGAGGCAGGGGGCGGGAGTGGGACCGCGGGCGAGGGCAACCACCCCCGCACCCGCGAGAGCGCGAGTTAGACTGGGAGCACCGCCGGAAGTGGGACAGAGATAGAGGTCCTGAGCGGGATCGCGGGCCAGACAGAGGGGGCGGTGGCGGCCGAAGCAGCCGGGAGTGGGGCGAGCGCGAGAATCGGGGGGCCGGGCGGGGGTCGTTCCGCAGCCCGTCCATGACCGGGATGGCTTCTCCTGACCCTTATTCCTCGTTGGGGAGGATGTCTCGGCGCCCGCTTGAAGGAGGCCAGCCCAGCGGGGTTGCGAGACCCCCGCCATCATCGCCGGCTGCTGCGCCCTCCTCTGCCCCGGCCGCGGGTGCGGCGAGTTCTTCCCCGGGTGCGGCGCAACCTCCGACAGCGACGGCGGTGGTATCTGAAACGAAGCGACCAATGAGCGAGGAGGAGAGGAAGAACCACGCCGAAGCCGTGGCGGAAGAAGCCAAGGCGTTCGCTGAGCGTGAGCGTCGTCTAGCGGAGAAGAGCGACGAGGTATCGTACTGCTGTAATGCATCCCTCCTTTCGGTACCTGTATCTGCGACATGATGCGGCATTTTTGCATGCACTTCCATTTTGAGAGGCAAGCCTGCTATATGCAGACAAAGGCACGGCGATTGGTGAGCGTACGGGAGTTTCTACGCGCGCAGAAATGTGAGCTCCCCACGTATTTGAGGCGCCGAGGGTAGGTTTTTACCACCTTCCGTCGGGGTTCGTGCCCTTGTCGTCACTGCCTTGCCATTGCCCTTACAACCACATCAACCTCTGCCCCCCCCCCCCCCCCCCCCCCCCCCCCCCCCCCCCCCCCCCCCCCGTGTTGTAAGGCGTTGCCAACGTCGTTTTCCGTGCTGATGCATTCCTACCCTATGGCGCTCTCTTTCGAACCAGGTCGAAAAGGGCGTGGCGCTGCGAGCAAGGAGGGAACTCGAGCGCCTCCGCGCCGAGAAGGACAAGGGTAAGGAGAAGGACCAGAGCAACGCGCGTTCACGAACAGACGGCCAAGAGACCGGGTCTCGGCAGCAGGAGGGTGCGGGCAACACGGAGGAGGGGAGAGGCTACGAGCCCGACGAGTACGGAAGGGACGACCCTTACCGCAGGCAGGAGGACGTCGAGAGAGAGCGGGCCGCTCAGCAAGCGGCGGCGGCCGCGCTGAGCCCCGCCTTCGGACCCATGTCGTCGGCCGATCGATCTGCCTCCGCGTGGGCCCTAGCGGGGGGGGCGGCACCGCCGCCGCCGCCAAAGGCAAGACTTAAAGCCGTGAAAGCGGTGCTCGGGCGTGGGGAGGAAGAGGCCGTCGAGGCCGGGACCGGAGCTCGCGTCATCCAGAAGCGACAGGTACCCCCCGCGGCGGTGGTGAAGGTGGCGGCGGAAGAAGCAGCACCGGCAGCTGCGGAAAAGGTGGCGTCAGAGTCCCCGGCCGTGAAGCCCGCGCCACACACCAAGAGCCGCACCGCGGAGCCTTCCAAGCTCCTGCTCTCCGGAAAAGGGGGTACCAACCTCCACGCCGCGGCCGCGGCGGGCGGTAGGGGCAAAGCCCCCCCTTCCGGGGGCAATTCCGGGTCTTCTGTGTCGTTGCAGTGGCTCACCCCACGGCACGAAGGCGAAGCCGGCGAGGCGCACTCCCGCTCCCAGCGTGGGGGGCAGGCGGAGCACAATAGTGGCGATCCGTCGGCGCCGCCGGCGCATTGTACTCCTCCTTGTCCGGCTTCCGCGCAGGGCGCGCGGAGCTTTTCGAGTCTTTTTGCAGGTGCTGGGCAGCAGCAGAAGCAGAAGCACCAGCACACGGGGGCGCAGCGGCCTGGGGATGCGGGTGTCGAAGGGCAGATGTGGGAAGGGGAGGGAAGGGAGAGTGGTCATGATCATGATCGAGATTGGCCGGAGGCGGGGCGAGGTCCGCCCCCCCCCCCCTCAAGAGAACACAAGCAGATTTTCGACCACAAGACGGGGAAGATGCGAGACGTTGAGGTCAGTGAGTGGGAGGTGCAAGAGGCAGACGGAGGGAGAGAAGGTCATTGGAGCGGGAGGAGAGATGAGAGCGTTGTGATGCTCACAATCGTTCGCTCTTTTCTTTGCTGATTTTGCGGTTACAGCTATAAGAGGCGCTTAGTTGCTCACAAAGCTGTTTTGCAGATTTTCTGTGTCAGCACGCTTCTGTGCAACATGTCACCATAAACAGGTAGTTGGCGCGACATCGTATGGAATTTCCATGCGACCTATGCGTTCTGAGAACCCCGAATGCGACTGCTTTCAGCGCGCCGTTGAGAGCATACCTCACGGAACGCCGTGCAACACACTCCCACCTCCAAGACTTGTGGTCACCTGGCCAGCCAGATAGCGCGAATGCCAACGAATGAATCCAAACATACGCACACACACACACACGCACTTTTTTCTCTCGCTTTTGCCTCAAAACCACAACCCCGCTTGCCCGCTTTCCGCACGCGCGTTGCGCGAAACCTTCAGGACAGCGACAAGCTTCGCGCTCCCAGCGACCGCCCGCGGGGCCCGCAAGACGCCCGCCTAGACGGCCGCACCCCGACGCAACAGCAACATCAACAGCAACAGCAACATCAACCCCGACTTTTGCAATCCTCCGGCAACGGCAACGCTAAGAGTGGCCAGCACCACCAGAGCCCACGCCAACAGCCGAGCTCGCGAGGAGGGCCAAGCGGGCCACCTTCGGACTCTCCCCAAACGGGGGGACGGGGTGCCAACGATGTGGCCGTCGCGGCAGAGTCGCCCGAAATGCGGAAGGTGGCGGGGCAGGCGCAGTCGCTCCAGCAGCAAGACTCGCGGTTCGGCGGCCACCTCCCCTCCTCCGCCACCGCCGCCGCCGCTCCGCGGGAGCACGAGGGAGGGAGTGGCTGGGACCAGAGGCGCGAGTTCTCCGGAGGGCGTGGCAGGGGTGCTGGTCGGGGGGGCAGGGGAGGCTGGGATGAACGGGAGGGTGGTGGGTTGGGGAGGGGGCGCGGAGGTACGGGCAGGGGTGGGAGGGGTGGGGAGGGTGTCTTCGTGCGAGACGGAAAACCCGGAGACAATAAGGTGAAGGGAAACGTGTTCTTTCGTCTTTTGTTGAGACTCACATCTTCGTCGAGTCGGTGTTGTCAGCAGCGTCATTTCTTGATTGAGTTGCAACGTGAACTTTGCTTGCTCTTTCTCTCTGTACGTGATGCGTATGTGATGTTTTGACGCGAAGCTGTAAGAGTTATTCTTGGGTGATGTTGTATCTGAAGCACTCTTGAATTGCTCTTGGTGCCTTTAGCGTCTCTCTCCGAGCAGCACCAGCACAAACACCACCACTTTGGACCTTGCAATCGATTTGTACCTGCTGGAGACCAGGCTTGTAACACGCTCCTCCCTTTCCCCCTGCACCGCCATGCATCTGCATGTTGCGAATGTGTAGACTATCCCGGTCTGAACTTACATTTATATCCGAAATTTATTTTGAGCGAACGATCGTGCTTCTTCGCACTTGTCTCGGCATTTCATCTTCATTTATTAATTTCCCGCTAGACTATTGGGTTGGTTGTCGGTTGTCCCAATATCCCATGATGAGGCTACCCGAGTACAATTAGCCCCATCCTCTAGCAAATGCTGCTGCTGCTGCTGTTGTTGTTGTTGTTGTTGTTGTTGTTGTTGTTGTCGTCGTCATATTAATGGCCGTTCCGATCTTGCTATGTACCAACTGTTAATTGAAGTAACGATGCGGTGCCCCGGTTTCGAAGGTGTGGGAGCGGGGGGTACAACAGCCTGTCGTCGCTAGCGGTGGCCGTGGGGGGGTTAACAGGGAAGAGGCGTGGGACCGGCAGCAGAAGCACGCGACTTCCAGCCGCCGGAGAGCATCACCGCTCGACAACCCTCCCACCCCTGATTCGTCCCCTTCGACGCCTGCCGCCCCAAGCCCTTCCACGAGCGCGGCATCGCGAGGCGGCGGCGGCGGCGGCGGCGGCGGCGGTGGTCTTCGCATTGCTCACCGCCCTCCTCAGCCTGAGGCGTCACCTCCATCCCCGGCTTTGGCTACAACTGCCGTGTCGGCATCGCCGAAAGGCGACTCTGCTTGGGGGGGAGGCAAAGGGACCACCACAGACACCCCCTTGCCGCAGCAGCAGCACCAGCAGCAGCAGCACCAGCACCAGCAACAGCCGTCGTCTAACCACCAAGATTCTTTGGTTGCTTCGGCGGGCACCTCTCTGGTGAAAGGCGCATCGGTGTCGGTGTCTGGGGGAAGCGCCGGCACCACAAGCGGCAATGATGCCGCTGCTGCCGCTGCTCTTGAGAGCCGGGAGGCGATCCGGGCGAGAGACGAGCGGGAGAGAGACCTGGCCGTGCGGCAGCGGAAGAGCATGAAGATGGACTTAAACGCCGCCAGTGCTCCACGGGATGCTGCTGGTGTCAAACAGCACCAGCAGCGTCCCAAACGGGATGGCCACGACAAGAAAGACGCCGAGAAGGTACAGCGTGGGGACGGGGTTGCACGTACTGCTTTTGTCCTTGTCGACTGTAGTGCCTTGCAGCTGGAGAGCCGCTCAGGCTTTTGTTTGTTTACTTTTCTTCGTTTTGCCACCCGGTGGAGCGTTGGATGGCAGTCGGCGGTGTCGTCCTGGTGGTTTTTCTTGTGTGAGCGATGTAGAATGCAAGCAGCAACAGCCGCGGTCGTTTGGTATTTTTTCTTGAATTTAAGGGCATGGTGTTCTTGTGCAGCGACTTAACTGTGGGCCGATCCGATGTTTCAAAGGCTGCTAACTTACTTCGCTTGTAGCAGTTGCCTGCGATTGGGTATCGCCTGTCGACCCTTTCACATTCCCCTCTCCTGCCGCGGCGAAAGCAAACATAAAACTCTATCCAACGGTTCGGCATGTTTGTAAACTCCCTAGGTTGGTGTTTTCAGCAAGACGAATGGTGAGTGACAAATATGATTCCTTACACCGAAGTACCCCTCCTACTGACACCGAATTACCCCACCTGACTTAACTCATTCCCACCTCTCGATTATTGATACTGTAGGCGCGACGCGCGGAGCGTGACAGGACACGGAGGGAAAAGCGTCATGATGATACGGAACGCCAACGCAATCGCTCCGAAGCAGGGGGTAGAGCTAGGAGGTCAGTTTTTTCTTTATAATCACTTTTTGCCTTGCCTGGCATGCTCTTGTCATTCATGAATGCAGGTGGCGCTCACAGGCAACCAGTCACTTGTAGATTTTTAGGGTCGGCGCTCAATCTCTTGTTTTCGACCGAAACACAAGCTTGTCCACGAGTTCGAGCTGTGTGCAGTTTTAGTTTTCCAGTTCTGCGGAGGTTTATGATTGTCGAGACTTGTCTTTCCCTGTAACCTCGCCACCCGCTCGATGTACTTCTATTCAATTGGGTTCACTTGATTGCGGCGCTCGCTACCACAACCTTCCCACCTCCAGTTGTATACCGCTACACAGCAGCAGAAGTGAACGTGACACAAGGGTGCCGGCGTCGTTGTCGCACTGAGGTGGTTCCTCCTCCTTGGGTAGAAGCGTTGCCTGTAGCTAGATTAGGGCCACGAGGGGGAAGGCGGTAGAGTGCATGCAATGCAATGCGGTCGCAGCATTCCAATCTAGCAGCGTACGATACGCAGGCACGCAGCTATGTATCGTCCTTGCATGTGAGGAGGAAAAGTATTGTCTCCGATGCTGCTGTAGACCGAAAAATGAGCACGAAGCGAACGGATGACATGCTTCCAAAGCCCTATTCGTGGCTGTTGCACACCGGACCGTCGTTCAGCTAACACTGCTGACGTTACCTACCGCAGGGAGGCGAGGCGCAAGGAGAGCAGCGAACGCCCCCCGCGCACCAGCGGAGCCCTCTACCGCTATGGTTCTCCTGATCTTGCGCCTGGTGGAGGCTCAGGCGTGTCGGAGTATGTCGTGTACGTCAACGCCGATATTCCGGAGGGAGCGCCGGACCCATTGCAGGTGCACATGAGGACAGAGGGCGAAAGGAGGAGGTGGTGGTCTGGCTTATAGAAATTCTAGGAGTGAGACCTGTCGGGGGTGGCGTTTGAGAGTTCGCGCCGCTGTTATCGACCCGACAACTCTTGGCGTGTTTCTTGTTGTGAGGCTGGAAGAAAATCGCCTAGAGGGAAAGGCCTCCAAGAATTCCCGTACATAAGCGGGCCGTGCCAAAACATGGACGAATACACAAGGTTTTGGTTGTAACTCTATTTATCAGGACGGTAAAATTGTAAAATTGGCCTTCGGGTTTACATTTGCCATGGAAGGCTTGGGTTCGTTGTGAGAGAACCAGCCGGGGGTGTGCAGTATGTGTCTGATATTTGAGCGACCTTTGCCATCGTCGGGTCGAGCTCTATTTTTGGCAGGCAGCTTGAAAGAGATTTTGGTTGGGCGCGTAACAAGGTGCCTCAGACACCTACACCAGGATGCAGGATCTTCAACACCTTCAGAACTTGGCGCTCGATTTTCGAATAAAGTGGGTTCCCAAGCTCGAACCTCGTGCTAGAGAGAAGACAACGCTTTCTGTGGGCAAAACCAACTACACCGCTCCCGCCGCCCTTGCCTCGTTTCCAGTGCTGACTTTATACTGAGGACTCATGCTGTTTAGCAATGTTGGCAATGGTTTGTTCAACTCTGCAGGCGCGCTGGAACGCGATGACCGAGGAATCAGATCGAGACCACGACCGCGATCGGTCAAGACTTACGCGCTCCTCGGTCGCCTCCTCCACGGCCACCTCCTCCTCCTCGTCCTACAGCAAGAAAGACCCAAGAGAGAAGCACCACACACACGAGTCCGCCCCCCGCAACACTAGAGACAGAGACGTAAGAGCCTCGTTTCCGACCAACCCCGGCGCCTCGGGGGGCAAGGACAGACACAGCAACGGCGCTGCGGGAGGAGGGGGAACTGCCGTAAAGGAGAGGAGGGATCAGGCGAGAAATGAGGTTCGGCGCAACCAAAGCCAGCAACAATCGGCACCCATCTCGTCAGGACCAAGAGAAGGAGGAGAAGGAGTCAAGGGCAAGGAAGGCCTTGTCTCAAGCGCGAGAGCGGACGGAGCCGGACGGAACGCGAGAGCGCGGGACTTTCCGGATCGCGGCGGCGGTGAACACGGCGATCGGGAGAAAGGTCGAGGCAGGAAGGCCACCGGTGACAAAGAGGGTGCCGCCGCCGCGCTCATGAAAAAGCAAGAGCTAGCGAAAGAGCAAGAGGAGAAGGCAAAGGAGGAGAGGGAGAAGCTCAAGGAGACTAGAAAGGTCCGCGTTGTAACAGGGGTTAGATGTGCCGACACCGTCCTTCTCATCCCCCATCCTTGATAAGACTTTGCCTACGTAGGACGGCTTATCCATCGCCGGAAGAACGGAGGGAGACAAAAGGCAACTGATGGTCCTATCATTCATTATTACTGTTTTCCTTGGCAACATCTCTAGTCTACCGCTGACAAGGTAGGTGCTGCCTCTCGCGTTGCGGTGAGTTTGTGGGCGGCGCTTTCGGCTCATGGTATGTGAGGGTGGTCCGCTCTCGCCGTGCACAGTGTTGCATGTATGGCGCGTGTCTATCGCAAACGGCGTTGCTCTTAGTTGTAATGGGGTTTCGTGGTGGGGGGGATGGGGGCTGCAACGGGCTTGCGGGGGGGTCTTTGGGGCGGTTCGCGGGGTGTGGTACAAGTCGGCTCGTCGTGAACTTTCGGTCCTGTCGCCATCGCGTTGTTGTGGTGGTTGTTGCCGTCGTACTGCTGCTGACGAGAACCCCTGCATATGTTTGAACCCCTTTCACTCTTGGCTCTGCTTGCAAGCCGTCCCCTTTTTTTTGTTTCTTGTGTGCGTCCATCCGCCCGCGGCAGGAGCGTAAGAAGATGAAGCGAGGAGGGGGAGAGGAAGCAACCGCCGCACTGGCTGGTGGTGCGAGCGGTTACACCGGTTCGGGTGTCAGCGGTAGCGGTGGGGGCATGGGCATGGGCATGGGCATGACACCAGGGCGAGTGGTGGTGGACAAGGACTGCCATTTGGTGAGAAATATAGATTGGTGGAACGGGTCGGCTGGTGTATTCCGGCGTGCGGTGCTTGTGGCTGTCTTGAATGTATTGGCAGCAGCCGATCGTGGTGATGTCTATAATAGCGCTCTCGCCTGTGTTCACAGTGTGGGAGCCATCGCTGCGTGAGAGCAATATCTCTTGTGTGCTTATGTACGGAGACGCATCTGATCTCATGTTGACGTCCGCTGCTGTCCAAATGCTGGTACTTGTGAGTTGTATTTTGCAATGCTGGCCAATGAAGTTTGCATGTTTATCGGCGTCGTTTTGTTCGCTCTACAATATAGCGGGGCAAAAAAAAAGTATTTCTTGTTTCACGCTTCCTTTCACGGTGTTTGCTCAACGGCGACACACGATGGAAGAGTTGAGAAATCTAAAGCCAATAGAACACGCGGGGCTATCATGCAACCAAAAAGAACGAACAAGAGTTGTATCGCACTGTTTCGAGTGGACGCAATTCTGCGTTTGATGTTCGTCAGCAGCGATCGAATGCTGTTGTAGGAAAGTCGCGCCAGTTGGCATCTGGAATGAATGGCAAGCTTCTTTCCCTCGGGATGAAGAGTCGTTGGTCGACCTAACTGGGTTGTGATTGGTGGCAGCCGCTTCAGCATCGGGGGATGGGATGATACGCGGCTCTGTCCCTTTTTTCGTCTCTTTCTGTTGCGTCGGGTTTCTGATGGTGCCCTGGCGGTGTGTTCCGTGTCTTGTCCTCCTTGTGTTCTCCCCCTTGCTATCTTCTCATACAGGGCATGAATGTCAACATGTCCGAGTTTGACACGGCAGAATTTGAGGTCGTCAAGTCCCGCCGTGAGGTTCAGAAGGAGCGCAAGGAGCAGCGGGAACAGGAAGAACAGGCTGCCGCTCAAAAGGCGATGGAAGAAACCGCCGCTGCGCGCAAGGCCGCACACCAGGCTGCCAGGGGCCAGATCAAGGCTCAGCTCGAACTCAACAAGGCTGAGACGCGGAAGGCGAGTTCTCTGCTGTTTGTGGGCGCCGACTCAATCGGGGAAGGGTGGCTCTCCCTCTGAGAATTTCCAACTCATCCAGCTGCTGGCAGCTATGGTCATCTTTTTTTTGCTGCCAATTCCATCTGTGGTTACCCTTGAGGCTTCCTGTTGATGCAGCTGGAGGAAAACCACTCGGTAACGTTGGGATTTTTGACGTGCGCATCTCACACGGGAATTCGTCTAAGCCCGACACCTCGGCAGGCATCCAGTTGATGTTCCGTTCCACCTTTTCCTTTCTGTACAGAAACCTGAGTTTCCATCTGTTTTGACTCAGATTTCTCGAGACGGCTTCGCGCCTCGGCTATTTCCCTGTTTCCTTTGGCGTGTACAGAAAAAATCGTCGTGCAAACGTACGTTGCTTGTTCGCCTCTCACCATTCCTCGCGGTCTCGTTCATGTTCCCCTTCCTTGTTCCAGAGACGAGCGGAGGTGAAAGCGAAGGCCAAAGCGGCCAAGGATGCCGCCAAAGCTACGGCTGCGGCCGCCACCGCCACCGTCGCCAGTATGTCCGAACAGGATAGGCGGTCTGACCAAGAGGCGTCGTCGAGGGAAAAGGCCAACGCGAGCACTCATGAACCACCTGCCCCGGCAGCGACGACCAGCTCCGCTCCCGTAGCCTCCGTGAAGAGGCAAGACAATGGGAAATCCCCCGTTACGACGGCAGTAGCAGCGGCGGCAGCAACACCACCTTCGGCCCCTACCAGCTCCGTACCCTCCCGCGCGGGTCACTCTAACGCGAGGCCTGACGGAGCGTTCCCTGCCGAACCAGCGTCAAGCCCAAAGGCGACGCAATCCAGCAAATCGCCTGTCGTCCTACCCCCGCTTTCACCGGCTAAGACCACGCGTCCGCTGTCACCAGCGATTCAGTTTGGAAGCGTGGGCGCAGATAATGGCGCGGGATGGTCTGCGACGCCGAAGAACGAAGGTAAAACACTCGTTGACTGTGCAGGCGCCTACGCCGAGAGCGGGGGGGGGGTTGCGGACGGGGAGCGGTCCGGGCTGCCAGCATTTGGTCCAGAAACTACGCCGGAAGTCTGCGCTCCATCGAGAAACGGCGAAGCTGGGCCTTCCTCGGGCGCCTCGAAGAGCCGCCACGATGCCCCGAGGCCGAACGTCCCGCGACCAGGCGACAAGTCACCACCGCTGGGCGAAGGTGCCCTCCCGGAAGTCGGCGTGGTCGAGCCTACTCGGGAGGTTGGTCTCAACCCACCTAGCAAGCAGCAACAGCCGGCGAGCATCCTGAGCGGAGAGAACGACAAGCAGGGTGAAAGAAACGGAAAGGATGAGACCGAAAGCACGCACTCTGACGATCGTGGTGGTGGGCAAGAACCTGAAAGCGATACCCGTGCTAGTCCTCCTACGTCCCCTCCGTCTGGGGTACAGCAGCCCGCGTTGAACCCAAGCTCGCAGTCGACCTCGCACGGGCGGCCACCCCCGGTGGCGGAGGGACTTCTTAGTTCGCCTAGCCTTGCGGGTTCGATCCCAGCTCCTCACACTCAAGCCTCGTGGAAGCCATTGCCAGTGGGCCTGGCCTCCGCCGTGTTGTCAACCGGAAACGGCGTAGCAGCTGTTGGCGCCGGAGCGGGGGGATACAACAATAAACCCCACAACAAGAACAGTGAGTGGGCGCCAGGCAGGGGGGGGTACAACGGGTTCGGTGCCGGCGGGACCGGTTATGGAGAGCAACAAGGCCCAGGAAACTTTGGGCAGAATAACGTTTCCACTGCGTTCGGCGCCACGCACCCCGTTTACGGTTTCGGCGGACCGCAACGCGGCAACTTCGGGCCGAACAGCGCTCCCGCTGCGCTGGGAGCCGCCGGGTGGAACACGGCGTCTGTTTTCAACCCCCTTCAAAACGGAGGTGTGGTTGGGATGCTAGGTGCCAATGGCGGCGGGAACAGTGTCGGAGGGCGGCTGAGGTCAGCCCCAGAAGCCTTCGGATTGGGTGCGGGTCCGAGCCAAGTCGTACCTCGCGCGGGATATGGGAGACTAGCACAAAGGCCGCCGGCCATGGTCCGGGGCGCGAACGGCGGCCGCGATGGTAGCCCTGGACAGCCGCATAACAGGGCAAACGATCCTGGTCAGACTGTCAGGTTGGCAACGTCCGTGGCCGCTGGTATGGCCGGAGGCCCCTTCGGAGGCTTCGTCCTGGGACATCATTCCCCTGGCGCGCGTCAACCGCCGATACCTCCGGGTGGCATTCAGGCGTGGACGGGGGGATTTCCTCAGGCGGGAGGTGGCAGCCCGGGGGGAGCGAGGATGACAGGTGTTAATGGGGGCGCCAGCCCTCCTGTTGTTCAGCAGACTCCGTCCCCAAAGCCGCAGCACCACCAACAACAGCCTCACATGCAGCAGCAGCAGCAGCAGCAGCAGCAGCAGCAGCAGCAGCCATTCTACGGCTCCTTCGCTGGCGGCGTTACTCCGCCAGGAAGCACCGGTCTCATGGTTCCCTCTACCCAGCCCACTATGCAAGTCGCCAGGTGGCAGCAGCCAGCGTCACAGCACATCGTCACTAGCGTCGTCGCCACAGCGGCATCGGCGGCAAGCAATCCCCCGCTATCCATGGCAGAAGGCGGAAACTCGGGCCTTGCCGCAGAGGCCGCACCCTTCATCCCGGCAGGAGCTATGGGGGTTGGAAGCCCGGCTATGTGGGGGATGGCGGGACCGCAAACTCAGCAACAGCCAACCGGTGTGGGTGCCCCTTCTCCAGGAGCGGCATCGGTAAACGCGATAAACCCAACAATGCTGACCCTGCCGACAATGGGGGGCCAAGGTGTGAGCTTTGGTGCCTCAGCCGTACCGCCCGGACGGCCGACTCCGTCCCCGGCAAGGTTTGCCACACAGCAAGGTTTGCAGCAGGTTCAGCAGCAACAGCATCCGCAACAACAGCAACCGGTATGAAGCTTGCTGCCCGTATCTTGATGTGCCCTGTAGCGTGTAAAGAATACTTGTGTCGCAAGGTCTTGTCAGCTTTCTCGAGTCGAGAGGTGATTCCGAAGTTTTTCATATTTTTCCACTTGCACGTGGCAGTATTGCTCAGGTTTTGAATGCAGTACAAGCAGACACAGGTGGGCGCTATTCGACCCGCGTAGATATCGAGTTGCGCCTTGTATGTTTGTTTCGTACGGAGGGCATCACTGCCAGTGACGGCACCAGTGTTTGTCGGCATCGTCCTAGTTTTGGCAAACACCCCGGTACGTTTTGGATGCAATAGCCGGGACCCCACAGAAATACAGAAGGCCACACACAGTAGTTGCTCTTTTCATGACATGCTATGAATGATACGTGTCCGATTGCGGCCCGCCGCATGCCACGCCCGACGCTCTCCCTGCCCAACTACCGCAGCTTCTTCATCAACTGCAGCAGCAGCAGCAGCAGCAGCAGCAGCAGCAGCAGTGGCTGATAGCCGGGACAGGGGGTATGGTTCCTGCACAAAGCAGCCACCCGCGGCCTCCTAGAGGCGCACAACTTTCTGGGCCCAGGCCTTCCCAGGGTAGCCCTTCGGGTGGCTGGGGAGCGGCAGGCAAAGCTCATAGCATCGCGGTTAGAGGAACAGCAGTACCAAGTTCCAACTCATCGAGAAGGCCAACTGGCACCGCGGTGCATGGAAGAGGAAGCCCGGGTAGGCAAGGAAACGGAGGTTGTACCTCTGGTGGTAGCACAGCAGCACAGAACGTCGGGTCCTCGACAGCTGCTGCGGGTAAGAGGGCCAAGAAGACCAATTCGCAGGCGCTGTATGTCCCGAAAAGGTCGACGCCCCGTGGACCTGGGTCTGAAAGCAATGCGCAGCCAAATGCTGGGTCTGCTTCCGTTGCCGCTGTGCCTGCCGCGGGCTCGTGACGTGAATGCCTGTTAGATACACCCGATTTTCGGCGAAACATGAGAGCTTGAGTGTTTTTTCGCGGGCGTCGTTGTATGTGTTTTGAGCCGGGTGCGTGGCTGTGGCGGATAATTCATTGTGCCATTCCTTGCGCTTGTGAAAAGTATGCGAAGTACACTGGTGTCAAAAATAAGTTTAGGGGGCGGGGAAGAGAAGTGAGTGTTTTTTTTTTTTTCGATTTTTCATCGTGCCGGTGCTTCGCGAGTCAGTTTTTTCAATGAACTGAGGGCGTGGGAATGTTGTGTCCGGACGATGTGGTGTGGTCTTGCGAAGCCTTCTGGATTGGAACGTTTCTTTCGCATCCCACACGCCAGCTAGCGATAGTCGATGCCTGGGCCGGGCGAGGTAGAGGGATCTGGGATGTTGCACAACGCCAGCCGGAGCTACATGGGTATATAGAAGTTTCGTTTTTCGAAGCACACGCATGCGTGCGTTGGATGAATTAATTCATACGCATACATTCGTCATTGCCGGCCATGCGTGGGGGCGCTGATTCTCGCCAAACCACACATCGCTTTACGCCTGCGGGCAGGCTTGGTCCCCCCAAGCAAAAAAATACACAACCATACGTCTACTACAGTAGACTCGTCCAGCATTTTAGTAGTCTTCTTGGTCGTGCAACAAGGCTGCCTGTGGTCGGCATGGCCCGGGACGCTCGAAACTTCACCTCGAGTTCCCAAACTCGGTCAACCAGGTTGTTGCGACGTGGCATGACACGCTACCGATGGTGACAGTGCCGAAATTTCGGGCGGCGAGATTCCGAGAGCTGCACCACTCTTACAACGGCCCTTAGCCTTTGGCCTGCTCCAACTAGAGTAGCGGCGGGTATTAAAGGCCACTTAAGCTACCCCCTGTGCAAAGAGCTCGTCCTTGAGCAGGAAAACGAATTTCGATGATATTGTGGTATCGAGCGATAGGTAAGATCACCCCCCGCCTATCTAAAAAAAAAAAAAA